CAGACTTCATTCCGCATTTTTTCCTTGCTAACTTCCCAGTTGGGAACATTTAAATCATTTAACTTTTGCTCTCTCATTGTCTGAGCATTCCGTTTTTCCCCTTTGAGCTTTCGTCTTAATTGAGGTGCTAGGAAATTTCAGATGGGTCTACCACCTCCAGTCACCCCCTACCAAAATTTTCATTGTGCACCCCGCAATTAACAAAGATTGCAAAGCTTTTAGCTTCACTCCTGCAATTCTCAGACCCGCTTTTCCCCTGAATGGGAATTGTGTACCCCCATTGGACTGTGGTCATGCTCGTACCCCCCGAAAAACCATTTCCCTCCCCATTTTCCACCTTGATTTTCTTACACCTTTACTATTTCATTTCCTTCCATCATCGCTTTGAGGGGGCTGCACGGCATTCGTTTTGCATTTTTAGTTTCTTTTAAGTGAAATCTAAATGCTTTTACTACCAACAGTTGGCTTTTCCTCTTCCCTGGCTCTGTAGTTTTTCAGTATTTCCAACCATTATCACTGGCAGCGTTTAGCTTGGCAGAATCATGAATTCGTTTTGTTGTCGTCTCCTCGTTTTTGCAGCATATTCATCTTCACTGATAAAAAGGGTAGTAAATCCTAAGATATCATATTAATTTTAAGTACTAGTTCCTCTTTTTTTTCTTTTTCATTAAATTTTAGATACGGATTTCAAATTATCTAATAAATATAGTAACTTTTAAAAACTTTAGGCATCGATTTTTGTGTGAAATTTTTTTTTAATGATTGATATACTTTCAAAGAATCGTTAGTAATCTGACTGCCCACATAACCATATATTCAGATCGATGTTATTGAGATATCCCTTTAGCTGAGTAAGGGGTATCTGATAGTCGAGGTACTCAACTATAGCGTCCTTCCTTGTTTTATTTTTACTATTCCACATTTTTCAGTGTTTCGTTTCTTTATTTTTTGTGATGTGTAAATAGCATTTGCTGGTAGGTTACTCAGTGGGAAAGTGGGGCTTTCCTTTAAGTCAAAGCGAGGTAAAAACATTTGGCATTGCAATGCGTTTCATTTTCGTCTCGTCTCGTTTCGTTTCGTTTCGTTTGTTTTCATTACCTTTTATCGTTGACCCCTGACCCCGGTTCCTCCCCTTGGGTTGACCCCTGACCCTCTGTGGCCAAGTTAACGAAGTCAGCCCTCCCCAGCGACTCGTGTAACTCTAACCAAGACAGAAAGGCGTCGCCTCGGAACAGTGTTCATTCATTATGAGGTACTCGCCCCTAAGGACTTTCCATTTCGTTGCCCGAAACGCGCATAAAATCTTATCATTCTATTTTTAAATAAATATATATATTGTACATTCGAGCTGTTTTCGCTTTCCGTTTAGTTTGATTCCTTTGACAATTTCCGGTTTGTTGACTCCTTTTGCTCCTTTCCTTGTCGACTGTCCTTTTGTTTTGTTGGCTTTTATGGTTTCTTATTTAAAAGCCATAAAATTCAGCACATGTCTTCAATTTGGGCGTCTCGGCTGTCAAATTGGACGTTTCCTCAGGGAGACCAAAGGGACCGAAAAAAGCAGAAACACAAAACGGAAGCTTGCGTAAAGTTTTGCGGCCCATAAAAAGTAGGCTCCATGACCAAAAGGGGTGGGATTGAAACAGGAATATGGAAAGATAGCCATCCTAGCCATTGGCCAAACCAACTGGGAGGAACTAGGAACTAGGATCGTAGATTTGATTGCGCTGTCAATTCTGATTTGAGTGGCTTACTTAAGGCGCTCTAATGGGGTTGCTGAAAAAGATACAAAGTTTCCTTTTGGGAAGACGAAATCTATTGACCATCGATAAACATTTAGCACAGTTTAGGGTTTAAACAAACTTCCTGTCATTTAGTTAGGCCTTTTATTTTCATTCTTATTTTGATTTTTTAAGCTATGATGATTTGAAGAATTAATAAATGGATTTAAATTTATTTTTCATGTTAAATATTATCACTCAACCCACCATTAAATCATGCGTAATCCTTAAGTTTACCTTGGATATAAAAGGCACTGCTAACTTGATCAAATCACTTAATATCCATTTTATAACCAGCTTAACTAAACTTTGATGAATATATTCATACTGATTAAAGTGAGTCGCTGTAAAATTTCCTACAATAAAAACCAAGTAGTATATCAAAGTATATAAAAAGCTCTATTAACTGCAGTTTTTACCGCGTTCTATAATTTTGCAGACCGCTTTAAACAGCTCTTTAATTTTAATTTCAAATAAAAGCAATTAAAATTTGCACCACAAAGTGAAAAGGCAACAAACAAAAAATAACAGGAGGGCGGCACAAATGTGCTGTTTTAAAAATTCGCCCAGTTGAATGCACTTTACGATGCCACGCCCCCCAAACAAAACAAACTTTCAGCTTTCGGGAGGGGTGAGGGGTAAAGCAGGGGGTTTGGGAGGGGGTGCTGTACATGGGATATGCAAATTTTTCATTAGTTGAAGGAGCCATCGCCGACGTCATCGTCATTCGCCGAGGGACCCTTGGGGCGCCTTTGTGGTCAGGTCCTCGTTGCGATGATTGTGCGATTTTTTAATCAAATCGTCGGCCTATTATGTGGGGCCCCGCGACTGAGTTGCCGGAATGTTGAAACTATAATTTCACGAGGGGCAGACGGAGAGGGGTGGCAGCAATTTGTTCGCTAAAACAAACTTGTGCTAAAAAAGAGCTCAATTTAACACATTTCATATGTAAATACCTCAAAGTACAACACTGCCAAGGATCCCAATGGATCGTCTCTTTTATTTTTTTTTAGCCCCCTTGTGGGCCGCCTTTTCCCCTTTGCCTCTGGCAGTAAATTACCACAACACGCAGGTCCCATTCCCATTCCCCACTCCCCAACCCATTTCCATTCTCGGTTCCCAGTTCCCAGTTCCCAGACGAGTGCAAACTCGTTCGAACCAGGCCATAATAATCGCCTTTAATAAATTATCGGCTTGCGCGGCGCGAAAAACGCGAGGAGCCAAACAAGCTGAAAAGGGTTGGTCAGGAAGGAGGGGGCAACCTGCATCACTCAGCGGTCAACAATGCAAAAACGGGAGCATGTCCAATGGCCAAGCACTGAGAAAAAAGTGTTATATAATACATATATGAGGACCCAACAAGGACCACGTACCCTAACACACAAAACATAGATTTATGTTTCAACAAAATAAAACCGCGAATTCTTCAGACGGAATTCTTCAAATGGAACCTTATGATTGGATCGATATGTTTTTGACGTATTTAATATGCTTTTTCTTTAAAGTATCTTATTATTTTCCATTGCAAAATATTTAAATTCTAAATTTGTATGTTTGGATAAAATATGAATGCATTAGAATTTGGCATAATGGTTTGTTTAATAGTTATTTCTTAATTGTCTTTTCACTTGATTAATTTAGTTATCTAAACTTAGAAAAATAAGGTTCTAAAGCTTTAATATATTCTAGTTCCATTGGTAGAGTTCAAAACATAACATACTTATTGAAAACAGCTTTATAAATATTTTCCTAAAAGATAGATAGGTATGGGTTTTGCGAGTACCTCAGTGTTATGATGTATTCCACGCAATAAAAAACTTAGGATGGACCAAACTGTGTTACAAAGTTATTATAATATAAACATTTTTCGCATGCCAAAAATTTTCAAATATTATTATTATTAAATGATATTAAGGCACAGTTTTTTCCACAGTGCAAAATCGAGCGGGTACTCAGGCGATGGCCGACATTTAAATTGCTTTGCATGTGTTGCACTCCCTTTTGCAGCCACACCCCCTTTTGCCGCTGCGCCCCCTTAACCCCTACCCGGGGCCCTGCCTGATCCCTTTTCCCTTTTAACCCCCCACTTACGGGCAACTCCTTGTTGTGTGCTCAACTTGCGTGAAATTTCAATTCCTCGCACTGGGAGCTGGGCTTCAATGGGGCAATTGCTGTAATGAAGTGCTTGAATGCCAATCAGCGGCAACGGCCAGGACGCAGTGGGTTAACCTTAACCCATGCAACATCCAGCCATCCCAGGCCCTCTGGGCGCTGCAATTTTGACATAATTTTTGATAAGTTGTTAACAAAAAGGTTGCCAAATTGTTGAGTAAATAAAAGTGGATGTTGATTCTTCGACCTGGTCACGTAAGCGCCTCCTTTTCAAAACCCCCTGCCATCCGTACACCCATCATAATTGCTGCCGTTCACGTAGCTGCAAATTTATGAGGTGATTTTTCATAAAACGTTTTCTCCGCACCGCGCGGCCAACGAATATTTCTGGTATTTTTCGCTCATATTTCCCCCATGTCCAAATTAATTTATGAATTATTTTCTTTAAAATACCAAGAATAAACAACATGGAAGCGAGCAATTAACTCGGCGAACTCCGGATCCCGACTGGCGCCTCCGGGAGACGCCACTCCACTCCCGACTGCTTAAATAAATTCGCCAAAGTTTTTAATAGTCAAGTGTTGAAAATTGAGCGACTGGGTGTTGACTGATTTATACACGATAATGGGCGGGGAGGAGTGAACATCGCCGCCGGTCAAATGGCCGCCAATTAAGCGGCTTTCTGTTGGTTAAAGCCAAACGTGCCGGAGCCGCCGAAGGAAACTGTCTGCCGGCAGGATCTTTGGCCCCTTTTGCAGGTGTTCAGCATTTCGCATAGTTCACTAGGGTGGGTCAATATTGGCAGAGGTGTGGTGGAAAAGGAAGGGTGTACTTAGGGGTGTACTTTAATCTATAGCACTTAGGGCCGATTTCTCAATGTCATGTTAGCTTTTGTCATGGAGTTGAATGGCTTATTCGGAAACATTCCGATTTTATAGTGTATGTTGCGACGAATACAAGGTATGTAACAGGTATAAGGAATCGTTCTTAACCCTATAAAGTATATATACTCGTATCAGATGAGGAAAACAAAATCCAGTTTAAAATTATTTTATTAAGAAATTAATTTTTTTAAATTATTTTTTGAATGTTTCAATTGTTATAGGGATTTGTTATTTCGCCTTCTCCCAAATCAACGTCATCATTAGAACTTGTAGATTTGTTATGACTTTGGTTTCTTAGCCAAACCTTTATCCGATTCTTTGGAAGCACCTCTCTTTGTGGAGTTTTTGGCGGTACTCTTCTTGGGTAGATTTTTCCATGACTCGTTGGACCTTTTGTTGAGATTAATTCTGTCCAATAGCCGCATTGCGTTGGACTCGTTCGGTAGAAACTTGAGGAAGTATCTCAGGCAGATCTTGGCTTTGTCGAATTTGCCGTCCCTCAGGTAAAGTTGGGCGAGTCCCATAAAGGGAAGCACAAAGCCTTCAGGTGCAAATTCCACGGCATCCCGATAGTATTTCATGGCGAATTCGAATTCCCCACTGGCGTGATGACTCCTGGCCACCTGGTAACAAAGTTGAGATTTCAGCTCCGGGACATCCGTGAACCTAATCGCATTTCCAGCCAGCCTCAGCACCATTAGGTGATCGCCAATGGAATAGTAATGAGTAGCAAGGTTACTTAGAGTACTTGAATGCTGCTTATCAATTTGGAAGGCCTTTTCGAGGAGACTTAAACCCTCATTGTAGGGACGCTTGTCGCCTTGGTTAAGTTTTAGAATGGCCATTCCAATTAGGGCATTGATACAACGGCTATTCTGCTCTAAAGCCATCTCGAAGAGTTGTCGGGCTCGGTTCAGATCACCCATTCTCCAAAAACAGTGGGCTATCCCTACGCGAACATCCGCGGGACCTCGAGGATCTGCCATCAGGACGCTCTTAAAGTAGCCCAGGGATCCTATGTAGTCCTGGCGATCGAATGCCAAGCACCCACGGCCAATCAGGGCTAAAATATGGTTCGACTTCTGTTTGAGAATGCTGACAAAAAACGTATCTGCTTTTTGGGCCGTGCTGGGTGATAGCATCAGGGTGAATCCCTTGATTAACCGGAGGTGAAGTTCCCCAGATCCCTTGTAGCCCTCCAGTGCCTTGATAATATCTACAAGCTTGGTCTGTAGGGCTCTGCGCAGTTTGCCGTGCTCTTTGTAGGCCATGTTAGCTAAACAGGCCGCCAGCAGGATATTGGCCCTGTCCAGATCCTCTTTATAGGATTCGTACGGAGTTGCCTCCAGGAGGCTCACAAAGGTATCCCCTTTTCCACTGGAGTAGCAATTTACCTGAGTAATGTATACTTAATTCCTTTTCAATATGAGCATATTACTCAAGAACTCACCGGTTTTTTAATGGATGTATGCAGTTGCATTTCCTCCATGTTGGGACAATTGTCCGTCGGCATAAGAATCGCTTCCATTTTTTCGTTAGCAACTGAACACTTTCACTTCCGAAGAAACACTGATTTTCTTTGACATGTAGGAATAGGGTTGCTGTAAACGGAGAACCTTATAAAAGGTTGCTAGGATAGCCACATCTTTGCAGACCCATATTCATATTGATATGTTGTTGATAAACAAAGTCACAGAAACTAGGCTTTCAGTTATATATTTATTTATTTATATAATGCTAACAATAAATTATAAATTTGCTGGAGAAATATCTTGTCTTCTTCCTAGTCAGTCCTAGTCAGCCGACTTGCCTCTAACCTGCTCCAATCCATGACTCATCCGAGTAACCAATCTCAGTCATCTAACAACCCAATTCCCTCCCCACCCACAATTGTAATCCGTGACGCAGCTGGGGACAAAACTATCAACAAATTGCCGATCGGTTTCACTTCATTTGCGGCACTAAATTGCAGCGTAACTCATTTTCTCTTCATGTAATCAATGTGCAAATTACATTTTGGCTAAAAGATTGACTCGGATGGGCTGAGAAGATGGGCAAGTCGGAGGAAGGCAGTGCGAACCGTTCAATGTGCTGCGTCAATCAAGAGAACTCCACTTGACCTCCATTTAAATCATTGACGAGAGCCAGCCCGCATCCGATGATGGCGTTTGTCGGTGCCATTGGTGCACCCAGAGAAATAAATGGACAGAAGAAAGATATAGTACACACTGGTAAAAAAACGAAGTAGATCCAAGAATTTTATATTCAATTTTAATATTTTCTCCTTGGTTTTTAACCAGCAATTGTTTTTCATAGTTTGTTTAATATTTTAAATATTCTTGTCAATTTTTCATTAAAATATTTTTGTTTTTTGTTTTAATATGAATTTTATATATAATGTGTTTTTGTTTATTGGTGTAGTCTTAGCTTCACAAAATTTATATTTATTATTAAAGGATTTATCATCTTAGTTCTTTATACAAAACGTTAACTTAACCACCAGTTTTTTTGTTTTTATGTTTGTGGTTTCAAAAATACTAATTTATTAAATAAAAATATGTTAAAAATCCTAGGAATAAGAAGTTGCTTAGATAATGTAGCTATTAACTTTGGATGTCGATAATACATACTCTTTTAATTTAGCATGAACTTAGTGAAAGAGTAGGTATCATATTGATTTAAAATATATATAAATCTGATTGTAGTCCAAAATGTATCTTTCTTTTTTTTTGAGTGTGTAAAATGGAAGGGAGTCGGACAAGGGACGTCAAAGACCCGGCCAGATGGCATCGGAAAAACCCAGCAAGTGTCCAGTGTCCAGTGCCACAGAAAGAGAGGAAACGCATTGCAAACGTAATCAAGTAATCAAAAGTCCAAATCACGGCTGTGACAGACCCAAATAATTTGCAATGTGGCTGTGGGGACCAGGGGCGTCTGTGAAGGGGTCGAAAGGGGGGGCGTTCTGCATTGCGTGCCATCCTCATGTGACGGACATGTTAAAGGGGCAAAGGGATCCCCGGACACATGCAAAGATGGCACTTAACGAAAGCAGTCAACCGACAACTGATTGAAGTGAAACAAACCGACGAACACTCAGCAGCACATGGGCGGAGATGCCCCCTCGAAGGGGGCTCTCCGGTGGATACACACGATGGTCACGTGGACTTAAATGTGCAACGACATTAGCAGACAGGAAAGCCAGGGTGGGCGACAGGGGGTTAAGACCTGTGAAGGAGTGGTACTGATTCATGACAAATGCCGAACTCTGACTTATTGAATGGGCCGATTTCTCCGTGTTCCGACAATCGATACGAGATACGGGATACGAGAATCGTTGAAAAGTTCAGGCGGAAACGCAATGAACTCTTGACATTTCAAGTGCCGAAAGGTAAAACTTCATTCACACAAGGCAAGGGGCAATTATAGCGAAAGGTTACCCGACCATCAGATGGAGGACACATGATTTATCAATCTGAATTGATTGCGTTTTAATATTCTCAAGGGTACGTTTTTGATAAGACATAAGATTGAGAATTATTATTGCTAGAGTATGGTTTTTTTTTTTTGTGATATAAAATAAATATTAAAAAAACCAAACTAAATAGCTTGAGAAAGAAACATCTGAAATATTATCATATTTCAAGGTTCCTATCTATGTGACGGACGAGATATGGTTTATAAATTCGTTTGGTTATTACTATCATATAATATTTGCATGTGTGGAGTTCAAGGTTAGTGTAGATATTGAGGAAGAATATATTTTGCTTATTTTACTCATGAACTATTTTTAAAATGTGTTTTTTAATACTTTAGCATCGTATTTATTTAAAAGCCACAAACCGTCTTGAGATTTGATAAAACTATATCTTTGAAAGCAATCCTACCTTTAAATAGATTGAAAAAATCATTGAATTGGTCAATTATTTAGATCGATTATATCGAGTTACATCTACGATTGTCGCTGCAACAGATTTCCCATTCAATCCATATCAATTTGTCAACTGCGACAAATAAACTGGATATACAACCCCACCACCCCACTCGCTGACCCCCGATGACCTTGCCCACAGGAAATGCCGGGGAACTCTGAACTTGTAAGCAGATCGAGGCACGTAGACGAACCTGAGCACACATGTCCGCCCAGAAACCGGCTAAAAGGGTGACTTTAGATGGCGATGGCTACTTCTGCAGCAGTCAGCAAAACTATTCCTCAACTCGTGCGGACAGAGAAATGGAGACTGGCAGGACGAGGATTCAGAATGGCAGGATGCAGGATGGGAACCCAGACACGGAGACATTTTTTATGGACGCCTTGGATTGGCGGACGTGACGTTGATTTGCTGGCAACGCCTTAAAGGTGACACGGACCAGGGACAGGGACCGGGGGTCCTTGGAACCCAAGGAGCAGACGTCATAAAATGGCGCAAGATTTGGCTAACAGAAAAATAAATTGCTGGCTGGCCAGCCATCCCAGTTCGATTGCAGCTGTCACGGCCATTTAGCTGTTTAGCGCCGCAAAATCTCGGCGAATCCTTGAGAGACCCACTCGGCCATCTAATTGCAAATGCAGCCAGCCAGTTGGGAGCTGCAGCTGTTGGCCAACAGGACCATCGATTTGCGGCCAAAACGGCGGAGCACGTCCCACACGATGCAGCGTCCCGGGCAAATCAGTTTCAGTCGAGGGGATTTCGATCCTGATTCCGATTCGGAGCACTCTGTTGGTTTAGTATAACAATTCGGGATATGCAAATATACGACCGGGTCGCATTGAAAAGAATCCTGTGCTTAAGCCACTTTAAAGTGCCGAAAGTCAAGCCCTAATTTTTAACCTATTGAAACATGCCGCCGAACTTTGGCTTTCGGGAGACCCTTTTTTTGGTATTCTGTTGGAAACGTCAACTCACTTCCCCCTTTTTTTCAGCTTTCCCTGTTCTTTTGCGTAGCCCTCAGGTGCTAATGAATTCATAATGGAAGCGGGCATTGGGACAGGCCATAAATTATGGGCTGCTGCGATGGGGATATATTTTTAAGGTACTGTCGAAAATGGCGGAAAAAAGGGGCCAAGCTGAATATTTTGCCCGTCGGCTGTTGTCAGTTGAGCGGGTGAAATGGAATTTTATTTAAAGCCAAATTTGAGTTAGGACAAAGGGGTTTTGGCAGGAATTTAACTTTTGCAGTTGGCCTATTTAAAAACGGTTTGTGGGAACTGAAATAAAATAAAATGTTGTTCTCTAAGCTCTAAAAGCTTTCTGTAAACTTGCCCTCAAAATATTCAGCAGATCTATTTGCATCTCCATCTCTGCTAATCCATTGAGTAATTGGCATTTCATTATTAATTTCAATTTGAGTTGCTGAGAATTGCATGCGAAATGTAATGGCTTTGGCTCCAGAAGTTCCATTTGTGGCCGTCCATCAATGCCAATGTAAATGTCACTTGGTTATGGATGTTTGCCTTCGCAATCTTTTATTAATTGAATGAGGAAAAATGCATTTTCCAACGAGGGGCCTAAATCGAATAACTGTTTGTTTGAGCGCGCACCGCAAAAACCAATTTGATTGGAATTAAAATTCGAAATAGAATAAACAAAAGTCGGCGGAGGACGGAGGCCAAGAAAGCCCTTTTCCGAACTCTCCTTTGGCGCAGAAGTATCTGCAGGCCCAGATTCCGGTGCACACAGATACAAATCCCAATCCCGTCTGGGCAGATGCTGATGCCAAAGCTGATCCTTAGCTTGTGTTGTAACAAGTTAATTGAATTTGCACTCAGCCAAGCGTCATGCATTGGGGCATCATGAGCTTACGAGTGCACTGAGCGAAATGTGTGGCTTAAAATTAAGGAAAATAATAGAATTTAGGGAAGTATTTCACAGCTATGAAGTTAATGGCCATATGACACAAGCATAAATTTGAGCTAACTAACTGGTTTTATTTAAAAAGTAAGTATTACCCATGTCATATATGTATATAAATGGTAAAAAATATAGGATTGATCTGTGGACCCGTTTTAAATAAATACAATTTAAACCAGTGTCATAAGGCCATAAGTAATACCAGAAAGAAATTAATATTATAAATCATTCAAATTAAAGCAGAAGAGTTTTTTTGAATATTTGAAATTAAATCAAATCAATCTACCGACATTTAAGTAAGTATCATATGGCCATAATACACATAGCCCATTACCCTAAGAATCAAATTATAGATCATATTTTGTTTTTAACAAACTGAGCTTATTTTAATATTTAATGAAGCCTTTTATTTTCCAATAGCTCTATAAATCCAAGTTCTCAATAGAGTACCCAACAGTACTAACAATTTCCATAGAATAAACAAGTAAGCACTAACGTCTATACATTTTAGACTTGAATTATAGTTTTTTCTCTGTGGTTTTGCTTTCCACTTTGAGGAAACCTTTTTCTCCATGTGGAAAATGAGCTGGGAAAGCGGAGGCCACTGGCGGAGCTGCAGCTACCGATACAAGTTGCTTATTTTATGGCCAACTCTAATGGAGGACTCGATTCTGATTCCGGCTTCTACTTCGCTTGGC